ATCTTTAAAAAATAAAATACAGTAAAATCTAAAAAAAAAAAAAGAATACGTCCTCTGGTACAACAACTTCATAAAGTCATAACAACAAATATTATTCACTAAGTACCAGGCATCATCTCCGGAAGGTTCTCAGCATTTTGCACATAGTAACTCATTAGTGCCTTACAAGGTAAGCACTAACATTATTGCCACTTGTAATTATTTGTTGCACATCTGTCTCCCTTCTGGATTGCAGCTCCAGCGGGTCCCACTCACTGTCTGGGTCACGCCGCCCCCGCTCCCAACAAGGCAGAAGATCAGTGTATTTGTTGAATAAATGAGTGAACAGAGGAAAGTTAGCATCCTCAGTTCCTGGGTGCTCACACAAGTGAGTGACGACTAACCAGTCATCTGAAGAATGTTTGTAAACTGTTGATGGTTAAAATGTATTTTCTTTCAAAGTCACACCAGGAAACCCTAAGGAGACTTTCACCCATCCAGATCAATCAGCTCACCACCCCTGTCCCCAAGCCCAGGGCCTATTCTGCCTTCCTGACCCTTTCCCAGGAAGGAAGAGAGGCAACTCGGAGGGACATCTATGTGCTGAGGAGTTGTCTCCAAGCATTTGCAAAGCCTAATGTCTTCATGGACCTCTGTCCGAGGGGCCGCTCTCTCTCCCAGTCACCTTGCCCATGAGTAGAAAGTGAGAATTGTGGTGGCCATGCTGTCGCTGATGATAATTTTGAGCACTTTTTCTGCGCTTACGGCTCTACAACAGGATTCCTGCTCTGCTCCCAAGACATGGCATCTATGACCCACTCCGTCTTTTCTCTCCATCTGTACTGCTGCTTTCTATAGCCAGATCCAAGGCAGGAGGGTCCCAGTCCCTACACTGTGCTATATTGGAAAGAGCTGTGGAATCAGACAGATCTGGGCTTGACTCATGGCTTCATCACTTACTAGCTGTGGGACTGAGGGCAAGGGTCCTAGTCTCTCTGAACCTCAGTTTCTTCATCTGCAAAATAAAGATAATTAAATTTTTTTTAATGAGTGTGAGAGGTTGGTTGACTGAACCCTACTGTGTAAATGTGTGTGAAGTTCATGTGCATTGAGTCCCGAATCTATACTTTATAAATCACACTTGAAGTCATCTCATTTACCCTTTGAAAACACCTAATGAATATTATGATCATCCCCATTTTATAGTCGAGGCCACTGGGGCTCAGAGAGGTTAAGTGACTTGCTCAATATGGCTCAGAGTGTGAGCGGCAGAGCTGAGCCTGGACCTCACATCAGCTGACTCAAAATTCCAACAGGGATACTGCATCCCAGGCCTACCATATTGGTGGTACTTACGCATAACAGATTCAGAAACAGCCCAGAATGCCCCTACACACACACACACACACACACATCCTGTATCATTCACCTTCGAGAACACAGCCTCAACCTCAACCTGCATAGAGAACCTCTCTGAAGGGTTGAGCTGGACCACAACCTGCAGGGAGCACCCAAGGCCTAGTGCCACTGAGCTGGTGTAGACAAGTGAGAAGGAACCATTTATTTCCTGGGCACCTACTTTATACCAGGCAGCACTGTGCTGGACGCTTCCCCCACTCATTGTCTCAATGCTCAGGAATTCTCAAGACACAAACGATTATTACCTTTATTCCACAGATAAGGAATCAGGCTCAGGGAGATGGTAAGTGCCCAAATCGCACTGCTACTAAGTCCCAAAGGACCTGAACCAGTCTGTTACCTTCCAAAGCCACACCACCACCTGCCTGGCCCCAAACGGCTCCTATCCCACCTCCCCCAGCTAGCCCATCAGCAGTCAGAACCCCTGGGAGAGAGCCCCACCCTGCCAGTGCCTGGCTCCTGTAACCTCCAGCAAATCACTTCATCTCACTAGTTCTTAAGCTTCTTGTCTGTAAAATGGGCAGGAAAATATTAAGGCAGACGAATGGCTGGAAAAATAATGCTTTGCAAACTGCTGCATAATCATGAGCAGTCGTGCTGTTAGGGGATATTAAGGATCAGTGCGAGAGATCTGGAGGTCTGAGAAGAGGGAGAACAGTGGTCTGGTATGCCTTATGGGTATGACCACGGCCACCCCCAACAACACACAGGCCCTCGATGATACTCACACTCAGACGCAGTCACTGCTAGGTTGGGTTAGTGGAGAAAGAGCCAGAGATTGACCAGAGAGACAGGCTTGGATTTGGATCCAGCTCTGCTACGTACTAGCAAAGTGTGACTTGAAGCAAGTGGAAATTATTTGGGCCTCAATGTTCTCCTCTGTACAGCCGGGAGGAGGTTATCACGCTGCCTGACAGTGAGAACGCAACGAGCAAATGTGTTTCACAGGCCTTTCAAAGTGCCTGACACACAGTAGTGCACTCCAACATTTACTGATTAGGAGACACACCATTAACTGTCAGGGCTTTTCTCCCTCAACTAGTTCCTTGCCTCTGGCTTTCCTGAGTCCCCGTGGTGGAGGGGGCATACAGGTGTGAGCGGGTCTGGCTCAGGATTCTAGGGGAGGAAGGCACAGGGCAAGTATTCACCCAGGTCCCTCAGGTGAACCTTTCCTTACACAAAGAACAGTCAGTTCTTCCTCTGGCCTCCCACAGAACCCCCCCTCCCAACTGATCACACTATGGGGAAACTGAATGTAGGTCTATTTCTACAGTTAAGAGGGTGAATTTCTTCAGGGCTAGGACTGTGGTTCATTCATCTCTGCGTCCCCAAGGCCTGGTGCCAATAGATATTTGGTCAGATAAAAGAATGAGAGACAACTATACTGGAAACCTGATTTGTTCCTAAATCGGGGAACAAAGCCTCCTGCCTCAAAGGCCAACAGAGTGTGGCTCCTCATCCAGATTCAGACTCAGCTATGAGCACTTACTCTTTACCATTTAATCAGGATAACTGGGAGAGGTATATGCCCTAATGGTGCCCATTTTACAGGTGAGAACACTATGGCTCAGAGAGGGTAACTGATCTGTTCAAGTTGCACCGCCAGGGAGTGAAGCTCTGCTTCACTCCAAGTCCCTGCTCCTGCCCTGGCCTGCTCCCAGGGGTTGGCTCACTGAATGGCCCTCACCAACTTGCCCTAAGGGGTTCTAGATAGGGGAAGGGACAAAGTATCCTACTAACCAGAGAAGAGGCGGATGACCAAATTCGCTCAGGGCTGAGGAATGGCGGGGGTGCCAAGGAGGGTCCCCAGACCTAACCCAAGAAGGTAAAGTCTAAGGGAAGCAGACAAGGGGGATCCGAGACCCCGCTGGGCACAGCAATGTCCTTGCCCCTTCTCAAGCCCAGGACAAAGGGATCCGCAGGCAAAAGGGACCCAAACAGGAGGGGCGGGGCCCACGCGGAGCAGGGGGTGGGCCCAGAGCGGCGCATCAGCGTCCCATTGGCCAGCTCTCGCCTCCTCTGGCTACGTCACCGAGCCCTCCAGGGACCAAGCTGCCCCAGAACCCCTCGCGTTGCGCAGGGGTGCAGGCAGCAGGGCCAAGCCAGCTTTGGGGCTGGAACTCCCATCTCCCAGGGGATCTACCGACCAGCGCCGGAGTCACAGTCCCATCCCGCCACCGCCATCACACCCAAAATGCCGCCCTCCCCCCCACGCCCGCCATACTCGCAGGAAATCTAGGGCAGTTGTGCAGCCCTTGGTGTCCATCATCGTCGCCCTCACCCCCTCAGTGTCCCAGTCCCCCAGCCCTCAGTCCCCAATGACCTGGGGCTGGAGGATAAATCAGACTGGCCTGGACTCGAATCCCAGCACCTCCCCTCCTGCCGTGAGACCTCAGTCAGATCTTCATCTCTTGATTTTCTTACCCCAAAATGTGCTTTGCTATCCCTACGACCACACGTTCTAAGGAATAAATTGGTTAAACTGTGCTATAAAGAAAGATACTCTCCCCCACCTTATGGTTGTACAGATAGGAAAACTGAAGTCCAGTGACCAGAATAATCATTCATACTAGTTAATACCAGTTAATTAATCTAGTTAATGTTACTTTTAGCTACCATCCACTGATCAGTTAAGTGTCAGCTACTGTGGTGGACGCTTATACTATCCCAATGGCTCCTCAAATAAGCCTGCAGTATAGATAATTTCTTGTGTCTGTTTTACATATGTGGAAACTGAGACTCAGAGGAGTTAAATGACTTGCCCAGGACCATGAAATGAGTAAGAGGAGGAGCTAAAGATCTGAGAAGGTGGTGGCCCAAATCTCTGTCACGAATTTGGATAATGCAGGAGACTGGGACTCCCCAAACTGTGTTTCTTAACAACTTTGAGGTATGGACAGACCCTTCAAAAATCTGGGGAAAGCTCTGGAGCCTCTCTATGCAGAAAGCACCCTCACAAGTGCAATTCTGCTGCATTTCAGAGGTGCCCATCTGCTTCCAGCTCCCCGCAGGCAGATGAGCCTCCCTGGCCCACCCAGGGGATCAGCCCACAACCCCCCTCCCAAAGCTTGCTTCTGGGAGAGTCTAAGAAATAACAAAGAGACAAGAAAAATCTAGAGAGAGACAGAAAGAGGAGCTAGAGGGGATGAGTGAGGAGCAAGAAGCAAAAGGAGCAAACAGCTAACGCAATTGTCTTGGACAGGCATCCTGGGATGCTCTGGATTTATCTGAAACGCTTGAACCTTTTACTACATGAACACTATGAGTGTCACTTAAGTAATAAAGAGCAACGAAGAACTGTTTATAAGAAAGAAAAGAGGCTAGGCGCGGAGACAAAGAGGACAGAGGGACACACGTACACAAAATAGAAAAGTTGGGAGACAAAACATTGAAAGAGAAGAGGTAAAGTCGGGGGGGGGAACCCACAACCCTGAAATACAGCTAGAGACTGAAGAGATGGAGAAGGAGCAGCGGTTGACGAAGAGAAGAGCAGACGGTCGGTGGAAGGTCCTTCCAAGGCCCACGGCAGCTGTGGGGCTCGGCTCCAGGCCCTGGAGGCCCCCGGTGCCCCCACCCTCAGCCCCTGCCGCGGCCCAGCTGACCTGGAGGACCCGCTTGGTGAGGCCCGTCTTCTGCGCCAGCTGCTTCAAGTCCTTGGCATCGGGGTTGTGGTTAATGGCAAAGTAAGACTTCATGGTCCGAAGCTGGTGGTGCTTGAAGGAAGTGCGCATGCGCTTCGTCTTTTGGCTGCTCGGGTAGGGCTGGTCGCGGTCCAGGTGCTCCGCGTCGTTCTCGTTGCAGCTCAGCGCTGGGGAGGGGACACGCAGAAGCGGCAGGTGAACCTCCTGACCCGCCCCCCGCTACACTGCCTAGTCCGCCCCTGCCCCGCCTGCCACCAAAAGTTTCTAGCTTCAGGACCACACCGCATGCACTGCACCACGCTGAGATGAAAATATTATCCCCATTTTCTAGATTTATAGGAGAACGTGAGGCTCACAGAGAGCCGCCTGCCCAGGGTCTCTCAGCTAGTAAATGCCAAATTCAAACCCACCTCTAAGAGATTCCAAAAACCATTCTGAGCCATTGTGTTTGAGTAAGAACAACAGCTACAACTTGTTGATGACTTATTTGACTCCAGGTGATGTGCTTAAAAGCCTTACATATTTTCACTGAATCCTTAAAACAACCCTATTAGCCTTGCATTATTTCCTCCTTTTTACAGATGTGGAAACTGAGGCTCAGAAACGGAAGGCACTTGACTGAAGACGGAGCCATGTGCAGGGCTCCCGGGCCCACACTCTTCCCCGTTTCCCCCTGCACTCCCTAAGGAAGGAGGCTGTCTGCAGTCCTCCCCCCTCCACCCCACCCAGTGTCTGGGGCGGGCACCTGAAAGTCGATGACTGACCTCTCTCCACTCACTTTGATTTCACCCTCATCAGTTCCCCAGCCCCGAAATTCTGGCTGACCCTGGGCCATGGGCACTGGGCCAAGGTTGGAAACTGTATTTTGTAGTTTATTCTTCTCCCCCCGCCCTGGGCAAGCACTTGCTTCCCAGTTATACAGACTGGCTGAACGAGGCAGGGAGGTGAAGCGATCTCTAGAAATCTCACAGAGTGGCAGAATTCTAGCCGGAAAGAGAAGGAAGTTGGAGGAAGAAATTAACATGTATCTGACACGGAGGGTATGCTTTTGGCCTTATGTACATCATGGGGCCTTCACTACTGCTCCAAGAGGTGGCTACTGCTATTCATCTCATTTTTGAGATGAGAAAACAGATGCTAAAGGAAACGAAGCCACGTGTACCCAGCCGCACCACCGGTAAGGGCTGAGCCTAGATTCAGCACTGCAGTCCTTGCCCGGTTCCTTCCACTAAGCCACAAAGGCAGGCAAAGATGAAGCATGGCTCTTTGGGGAGCCAGTCCCCCTCCAGAAGGGGCCCAGCTGGGGCCCAGCTGCCAATGCCTGGAAGGCAATGGGGGTGAGGGACAGGGGTGGAAACCTAAGGCCTCAGAAAGTTACTTGGCAACCTGGTGCCTGATGGGAACATGAAGGACTCCTCTCCAAGATTCCTTCATCACATCCCGAGCCATCCTGCATGTAAGGTCTTACTTTGGGGAAAACCTCATAGCAGATGAATTCAGTCCCCCTAAAGCAGACAGCTGGGGATGTGTCTTGTGCCCCATCATATGCTCCTAATAGAACTGCCAGGTTTAGCAAATAAAAATGCAGGTTGTCCAGTTAAATCTGAATTTCAGATAAACAACGAACAGTTTCTAAGTATGCCTCTGATTTTGCACGGGACATACCTATACTGAAAATTGATTTGTTGTTTACCTAAAATTCAAACATTGCAGTGGATAGGCTTATGCTAAAAAATTATTTGTTGCTTATTTATAATTCAAATATTGCATTGGATACACTTACACTAAAAATTTATTTGTTGTCTACTTGCAATTCAAATTTAACTGGGCGTCCTGCATTTCATCTGGCAAAACCACTTCAGAAGTACTCCCGATTTCCTGGTGACCTACTCCACCCACTACTCAGGTGGGGAGCAGTCTCTTACAGAAAGAATTTGCGAGACGCTGGTCTTGTCACTAACCTTGAAGCTGTCAGCAAGTGGCTACTAAGGGTCCCTTGCACTTGCACCTAGGCACCCAAGTCCCCCACCTTGGCTGTATTCCCACTGAAAGCACTCTGAGTGAAGAACTGGGTCCAGCAATGTGAAAGGGATCAGAAAATGACTCCAAACGGACTCCATGGAACCTGCCCTGCCCCCCCCCCCCCCCCACTGCGGGAGCGACGCTCCTCTTGCCCCCATCCCCAGCTCCATGGGGGGTGGGCCAGGCCTCCCCACAGGGGATCTCTGGGCCCAACCCTCTGCCCAGTCCCCGCCTGGGCCTTGCTGCTGTTAATGAGCTCCGTGGGGACCCCGGCGCCCCATGTACCCAAGGGACGTGCCCCAAGTGCGGCCTAGATCTACGGGGGAAGTGGTTTGGGGGAGGGAGAGAGAAAGGGCACGGAAAGGAGAAACAGAGGTAGAAAGACAGACGGAAGGGAGAGAGAGAGAGTAAAGAAGAGGGGGTAGGGAGGGAAGATGGACAGAGCCGGGAAAAAGAGGAGAGACAGAGGAAAGGGAAGCAGTGGAGATGGGGAGAGCGGGAGAGAGAGAGAGCTACAAAGACAGAAAGAAATCCGGAGAGACACAGAGAGAGCCTGAGGGGACAGCGAGGCCTGGAAAAAGAGGGGAATGTGTGGTGGGGGGTCCAGGTTAAGGAACTGAACCCCGGGTCTCAAGGAAACCAGGTCCCCGCCGGAAAGCCTATTCCGAAGCCTTACTGGCTGGGGAGTGGTGAAAAGGGGGGAGAGGGGAAAGGAAGGGAGGGCAGCAAAGAAGCTGGCTCAAGACTAGGAGGCCGAGTAGGCCAGCGGCCGCAGCCGGGGTGCTGCGCCGGGAAAGTGAGGGCGGCCTGGAAGCCGCCGTTGGGCCCAGATTTGTCCTGTACCCCAGGCGCCCTCACTCCCGCCCCCCACGCCCCGGCCGGGTCGAGATTCCCCAAGATCGGATCCGGGGAGGAGCGAGGGGCCGAGGGGAGGGGGAGGACCGGGCTTTCTCTCTCCCTTTTTTTTTTTTTTTCCTCTCAATTAGGCCGATTCAATGGAGCTAAAGAGCTCGTAAAATCATGAATAATTTACTCGTGATCTGTTATTAACCCATCGGGTTTCGAGCTCTTGTCGCTGGGACTGAACCTGTAATCAAATCTGACTTCGCCTCATTTTACTAAAGACGAGATTGTAGGTTCAATTGTCTAAATAATGGATTGGAATCAAATCAGTAATTACGCCGCCAGGCACACACACAAAAAGCTGGGGCTGGGGGAGGCCCGGGCGTCCGGCCGGTCCGCGCGGGACTCCCGCGGCCGTGGCGAACAAACCCCCGGCGCAAAGTGCGCGGCCCCGACCCCTCGCGGGCTCCGAGCGCCTCGTCTGCGCCCCAGGCCGGCGGGCGGCCCGGCTCGGGGGTGGGGGAAGGTTTCAGTTCTGCCTCTGCGACCGGGGCTGCGCTCTCGCTCCGGAGGGGCGGCCAGAGGAGGGCTGCGGTGGCTACCGCCCCGGAAGGACTTTCCGACCCTGCGGCCCCGCCGCTTTGGCTGCCCTTCCCTCGGCGGCGGGCTGGGCGCACCGACGGCGTCTCACCCCATGCTGCCCGAGCTCACCGCCCTGGAATAAGGTGCCGCCGCTCCGCCATCGGACTGGCCCGCAGAGCGAAGGGTCGGAGTGGCTGGGCCCCTGCGTGTGGGACACGCACACCAACAAGCTCTTGTCCTCACACTCAGAAACGCGCACAGACTCTTGCTCAGACACACCACCCGCAGACGCACCCTCCACGGCCCCCTTTCCAGTCCCGGCGGGCCCACGGCCCACACTGAGGCCATTCCTCTCCTGCCGGTGCCGGGAGGGGAGGGAGGAGAACGGGAGCCAGACCTGGGGAGGCCTGGCCGGGCCCGGCGCGGCCAGGAAGGCGACCGCTTTCCCCAACCTGGTCCCGGGAGCCCCGAATAAGCGAGCGGCACGGCCACAGCCGGCGCGCCGTGCGTGGTTTCTACCGCCCGAGCCAAGGCTAGAGACGCGCGCGCCGGCAGAGAAAAAAAAGACCGGAACAGAGAAACCGGGACACAAACACACAGAAGGACAGAGAGAAAGGGGGATCGGGAGAGTCGAAAGGAAAAAAAAGAGAGAGGGGTCAAAGAAAAAAACGAGGAGATGGCATGGGTGGGGAATGTCTTGTAGAGGTGCCAGCTCCCTTGAAACTCAGCCTCCAGCCACATCTTCTTGCTCGGTGCCGCCGGACCTCGCCAGGGAAGGCGGCAGAGCAGCAAAAAGCACAAATAAATTTCTGTACCCTTCTACCTTTCTATTCCAAACCCGGTAGCTAACCTGCCTACTAGAAAAACATGATCCCACTCACCCTGCGTCCGGTGGCCCAGGCCGCCTGGGGCTACCTACTGGGGGCCGGCCCCATTTGATAAATAGACGCGGCTTTGTTTTGGGGGACCTGGCCTGGACTCGGTTTAGTCTATTTTCAGGGTGGTGAGAGATGAGGGGTGGAAGTTTTAGAGAGCTGGCATCTCTGGTAGAACCTTCAACAAATCTTTAATCTGCTGCCACCGACCTGCCTATGGCCACTTCACCATTTACTAAACTGGGGGCTGCATTTTCCTCCCAGCTCCACACACGGAGACACATACGTCCGTCCATCTTCCAACAAGCAACTTCGTTGGAGCGAACAGGGGAGCCCCCGCACCCGCTGAATTTTCCTCCCCCAGCCAGTTCAGATTTTTAAAAGATCAAAATAACCCTGCCTTCTTCCCCGCGGCTGCCCTCTCCCCACAGTCCTGGGGTTTTGTTTGGTTTTGTTTTCCAACAAAAGGTTTGTTTCCTTGTGCATTAGACTAAGGGGAAAAGGAAGATGAAAACAAAAATCTCCGAATCCGATTCTGCCGCAAACGAAAGAAAGAAAATAACGGCAAATAAACTCTATCTAGTTCAGAAGCCCGGGGAGTCATAAACCTTTCCCGGCCTTGCAGACGTCGGGCAGATGTTGACGGTTCAATTTGCCGGGCCCCAGAACCTCCGCAGCTGTCCTGAGCGGGGAGGGGCGGGTGGGGGGGAGCGTCTCCTGGAACGGCCCGGGGTTCAAAGATGCCGGAAATGCGAAACGAGCCCTCCACCCTACTCCCCGCGCGAGGCCAGGCCTACTCCGGTCTCATCCCGGGCGCCGGCTTCCGAGGGTTGCTGCTCTCAAACCAGCGCCCGGAACTCAGAGGAAGGAGCCCAGGGAAAACCGAGACCTGGTGGAGCAGGAGGATCGGGTCGGGCTCAGCGACCTGCTCTGGTTCATAAGGGTCCTGGGCCCAAGTTTCCCGAGCCTGCTGCCCTCAGGACATTTCACAGGACCAGGCCAAACGCCAGGCCGAGCTCGTGGCCCCCCACCGGCCACCACCGCCAGTCCTTTCTCTTGGGACCCTCGCTGCCCTGCCTCGTCAGTTCATCCATCGCCCCAGCTCCCATCCTCAGCCACGCCAACCCAGAGCCAGTTTGGTGTCGGCTCCACCTTGCTTTCTCTGTGCTTGCACTCTCCGACCAGCAAAGTGGGGGAAAGGCCCAAACCAAAAAGCTACCTCTGAAAAATTTCTCAGCGACGAGGCTCTGCACGGGGGTCAGCGAGACTCAAATGCACCTTCGCCTCCCACTCCAGCCGAGTGCGCACGGGCTGGAGCCCAGGAGCCTAATGTCCCTTCTGCCAGGTCGTCCGGTGCTTAGGGACTGGGGAATCTAAGGGCTAGAGTATGCAGAGTGATATAGATATAGATATAGATATAGATATATATCACACTGAGATTCACTCCAGCTCCACGCAGTCGACGCCACGCACTTTCCCCCAACCCGACGGGGGCGCTCCGTGCGCCTCGCACTCACCAGCGTTGTAGGCCGCCAGATCCGCCCCGGGGCCGGGGCTCTTGCGCTTCCTCGGCCGGCCCTTCTGCACCGTGCCCACGCCATTGTAGTAGGGAAGACCCAGCGGGTTGGCCCCGGCCGCGCCCAGCCCGGCGCTCTTGGCCGCGGCTGCTGCGGCTGCAGCCGCCGCCACGTCGGCATGGTTGAAGTGCGAGGGGTACTCGCCCTGCAGCAGCGCCTCGAAGTGCAAGCGGCAGTAGACCAGGCTGTCCTTCATGCCGAAGTGGTCACCCGTGGTCAGCATCTTGTTACACGTGGTGCATGTGAAGCAGTTGAGGTGATAAACCAAGTCCCGAGCACGCATCACCATCTCCGAGGCTGAGATGCCCAGGTGGCAGCGGGCGCAGCGCTGCACAGAGAACCGCCTGTAGGGACCATCGAGGGAGGGACTGTGGGGACACACGGTTGGGTACCCCCCATATCGCTCCTCCAGGTGCCGCTGCTGCCACTGGGGGAAATCTCTTCCTTAAGATGGGAACCAGTCTTAAATCGGAGGATGGGGCGAAGAGGGAACTAGATTTTGGCCCAGGTCTTGTCCTACCCTGAAATATAGTTTCCCTTAACCATATTCATGTCCACAAGGCTTCTACTTTTCCCAGAGCCTGGGCAAGCCCCAGGAAAAGCCTTTACTTGGGAACCGGGGGGGGGGGGCTGCCCACTTACCCTTTCTCATCCTTTACCCCTGCCCTCCACACCAGCGCCTGAGAATCCTACAGACCTTTGTAATTTGGAAGAAACACGGAGATGGGGAAAGAGAGAGGGAGGGAGGAGAGAGAGAAGGGGGGAGAGAGAGAGAAAGGGAATATAAACAGACCCTAACCCTAAACGGAGAAAAGAAACTTGGAGCCTGTTAGTGACTCTGGCTCTTTAACCCTTGAGGCAGGTTTCACTCCCAGGTTCACGAAAGACCCGGAAATGCACCCAACTGATCCTCCAGCTCTCCTTCCAACTTTGTCCCACACCAGCCCAGGCTACCTGGGTTGGGGGGGGGGGTGCCTTTTTCTGTTCCATCCGCTTGACCCACAAGAAACTTCAAAGGGAGAGGGGTGCAAGGACCCCCCCACACCCAAGCTTATTTCTGTGTCTAAGCTCAGAAGAGGGCCCTTTTCTCTGGGTCCCTATACTTCTCGGACCTTCCCAAGAGTTCCCTCAAATTGCTGTTTAGAAAGGTCGTTACCCAATTTGTACTGGCTTGGAGAAGGGGGGGCTAGGTAGGGAACCCTCCCTTGGGACTGGAGGGAAAGGAGCCAGGCCCAATGTGTCTGAGGGTCCTGGGGGGCAGGGGGTCCCCGGGTGGGGGGCTACCTGTAGTAGTCTTCCTTGCAGTAGATGCTTCCGTCCTTGCTGAAACAGGTGAGCTCCGACTCCAGGTTGAGCTTGCACTCACAACACTTGAGGCAGCGCATGTGCCACTGTTTGTCCACCGCCAGCAGGTAGTAGCGGTCCGAGATCTTGCCCCCGCAGCCGGCGCACAGCGCGGCGCGGTCACTGCTGATGGACGGCATGGTCTGCGGAGGGAGGGAGGCGGGAGACCGCGGCGCCTGCGTCAGCCTGCGACTTCCCCGCCGCCGCCGCGGGGAAACCGGCACCCGCAGCTCCCTCCGTTGCTCCCGCCAGCCCTAAACGCCGCCCCCGCCGGGGCCGCCGGGGTGTGCGGTGCGCTTCCGCCACCCCCAAAAGGCCCATATTCAGGAGGCTCAGAACCCAGGCCCGCCCACACAGCCCAAGCCGGCCACAGGCCCAGGCCTGGTTGCTGGCCTGGATGGATCTCCCTCCTTAGTTCTCCCCCTTCCTGCCCCCTCTGCCCTTTTCCCAGAAAGGCTTGGGCTGTTTTGAGGGCTGGGGCAGCAGCGGCTACTCCAGTCAAGCCCTCCAAAAGCTCCCTCAAAACTGTTTCTTAAAAGAGCCACTCTGCCGGGCCCCAGGAAAAAGGGTGAGATGACCATTAAAAGTCACCCTCTACACAGACGCCTCCCGGGAGACGCACAGAGTTCCTGACCCCGAGCCTCAGGGATCTCTGGATCCTTATACCAAAGGTTTAAGCCAGGACAGGTCGCAGCCAACCCCTGCCCCTCCACCACCTTGGCCACACTGGCTGGGGCCCTCTTGGGTCCTTGGGAGATGGTGAGTGGAGTGCGGAGGCACCCTCAAAGTCTCTGAGTGCAGGACAGGCGGAGAGTTTGATGGGGAAAGGAGCTCAGAAGCCGGAGGCACCGGGGCTGCAGCTCTTCCTTTCCAAGTGGAGAAGCTTCGCCCGTCTTCCCTACCTCCCCAGCCTCTAAAGGTCACTTCTGGGCCCAGCTTGCATAGCCTGTGCTCGCCTGGCCCCCTGGGAGGCCTGAGGTGAGGAACTGGCTATTCGGGGCTGGGCTGGCAAAGCCAGGTGTGGAGATCCAAATGGACGCTCCCTCCACAAGAGCCAGGCCAGAGCCTGAACTGCGAGCCCTGGCCTGGCCAGGTCGGCCGGCCAGGAGGCCAGGGACGTGATCAACGGAAAGCGCCGGCCCAGAAGACTTGGACCCTTGGAATTGTGCTGGAGTAGGGAACTTCGATCGCCAGGAGGCGGGCCGGTAGCGGCCCGCGCCGGCTGAAGCCCTAGTGCTCCCGTTTGGTTCGCCCTTCCCGGCGCCGCCGGCGGCGCCGCCTACAGCTACAGCCGAGAGGTGGAGGGGAACGCGGAGCTGGCGACCAGAGGGCCCCGGTGTAGTGAGAAGAGAGCCATCCCGGGACGCGGGTACGACTTCGCTCCCACTTCGGGAGAAATGCCCTCTTGCACCCTTGGGGTCTGAAATTTCGGTTTAAACCTTGTTTCCCTCCTCCGCCCCAGCAGCCGGGTTTCCCCCGAGCCGGGAGCTACCGGGCCTTGCATCCTGTCCGCGGATCCCCTGCGCCCAGTCCCGTGCGGCACGAAGGACGCTCCCCAAAGTGCCTCCAAACTTCGGAGAGCAGAAGCGCGGACCGACCCGGCCCCGTCCCAGGTTTCAGCCCCGACCCCGCAGCCGTGCGCCTACCGTCTCCGTGTCGCCGCGGTCGATGGCGGAGCTGATGGCGGGAGCCTCGCTCTTGGCCCTGCGGTCCATCTCGTCGATGACCCCGTGCACCTCGGGGCCCGACAGACTGTGGAACAGCATCGCGGCGGGACCGGCGGGGCCGGGGGCGCGGCTCCTCCGCGGGAGGGCTTGCCCCCCGCCTCAGCTGCCTGGCGCTCCTGGCGCTAACGGGCCCGGTGCATCGCCACCGCGGCCC